ATAATTTATGAAATGATAGACAAGTAATCCATATTGCTGTCCAGTTGGTGTGGGACAGAAGTTACCGTTTCTGCATTTCACAATTACCTTGACATAACCTTGTTTCACATTCTGATTAAGGTAGCTTTCATAAACTAAGATTTTTTTGTGTTGGTTCTGATAATATTTTTTATTTATACATCTCCAGAGTTTGCAGTGTCTTTCCCCCCTTTATATTATGTTGTTATAAGTACTGTTCGGTATCATTTTAACAGTGATGCTTATATAATCAAAGAAAATTAACATTCTACTATTTAGATAGTTTAGAACATTGAGAAAAGAGACGAAAACAAAAAGTATTCCATTAACAGTATTTACAATTTAGGATGTCAATATTACAAGCATAAAATTATTTGCCTTTTTCATCTAAAGTTGAGTAAAACTTTGAAAAAAACACAACTCATATCAAAGTATTTGTTGTATAATGTTTTGATCTTAAACCAATTAACAGTTAAAAAAAACAGTACTATTGTACTGGTTTTCTTATTATGTGCCTTTACTATGTGCCATCAAGTCGTTTTTGACTCCTAGCAACTAGATATCCCTCATGACCTATGCTTAACCTCCTGTCAAGTCTCCCAAATGGTGCATTCATCTACACAGCACTGTAACTGAGTCCTTGCAAACAATTATTAATAATCGTGGATTCTATTGTGTTCATGTTAATGAAAGGAAAAACAAATGAGGCAAATTTAACAATAATTAAATATCAAACAAGTAGAAAAAAAGAAACAGGATTTTTTTTAAAATGGATTTCTTTCTGAAATCCATTATATGCATCTGATTATTTGCATGTTTTTAACATGGAAAGATAAAATAGAAGCGTCATCCCATAAATGCGATATGCACCCAACTAAATCATAAACTTTTAAAACTCTGGTATCTCCAAGGACAATGGAGTCCCAACTCCAAGAATTCTCCAGATCAGATTTATTCCCCATACATTTGGATGGCACCATTGCAGCCGTCCCGAAGTGCCGTGCCTGACTCAGTACCATAGGGATCATGCCAAAGATGCCAATATATTCATTTGGGGAGCCTTGGGGCCTTTTTGACTTCTTAATTAAAAACTCTAATCATCTGGTGCGAGAACGAGAGGAGAAGGCAGACAGGAGGCAAACACAAACGTGGCGGCTGGCCTAAAAAGTGGGCTAGAAATCTAAATAAAAGTGGGCGAGTTCGCCGTCGCGACCGTTTTCCTCAAACCCTGAACACGAATATATCTTGGGAAAAGGTAGAGGAAGAAAAACAAACTACAACGGCCTCCATATCCAGTCTCTCAGCCTCTTCACTCACCTCGCTCGACGTCCAACCTTTCCGCAGAAAGTGCCGACAGTCAGATCCTTTACAGTACAAACCTACCGCCACCTTCGAAGCGATCAGCGCCACAGGCTGAAGAATAGGGAGCGCAGAGCGTTCTGGGAGTCGTAGTTCGCCGCCGGGAAGGTCACCGTTCTACGAAGCAGGCCGGCTGCCGCGTAGCTGACTACGATTCCCAAGAAGTTTCGGAAAACATTGCTTGGCGTCATGGCTCTTGGCAGTACTTAGTGGCAGTTGAAGGGAGGGGTGGAGGCCCTCCTTTTGAAGGAAAAGGGTAGCTCTAGGCGTGCATTATTGTAAACATCATCACCACCGCAACGATATTGAATTTTAAAGTGGGGAAATAATTTTAACGTGCGATGTAAAAGTTTAGAAAGCTTTTAAAAAGGATAGCAAAATATTGTGGTGGTCTGTCAGGGTGAAAATAAGTTGTGTGTTGCCTTCAAAACCAAGAACAATTTTGTTCTGTTGATTGTGATGTTGCCTAAAATTTTAGACTTCATTATTAGCGTTTTAAAAGGTGACATTAAGGCACTTAAAAGGCACTTAACATAGCAGTCTAGACCTCTTTTTAACTTTAGGAAAACACAGGGTATTTTTTTTCTTCTTAACAGATTTAACAGATAATCAGAGTTGGAAGGGACCTTGTAGGTCATCTAGTGCAACCCTGGCCCAAGCGGGAGACCCTACACCATTTCTGACAGATGGGAGTCCAATCTCTTCTTGAAAGTCTCAAGTGATGGCTCTCCCACAACTTCCAAGGGCAAGGTGTTCCATTGGTTGATTGTTCTCACTGTCAGAAAGTTTCTCCTTATTTCCAGGTTAAATCTCTCCTTGTTCAGTTTCCATCCATTATTTCTTGTCAGTTTCTATCCATTATTTCTTGGCCAATGCCAATTTCTTTTGATATGCAACAACTTGTCATTTCAGCGCTAAAAAATAGATATTGCATTCTGAAAGTCCTTGAATAGATTTGCAAGTTTTATGAAAGATACAAACCCAGCTGGGAAAGAGTATAATCCATACATTTGCACTTGTGGAATGTTATCTAGAATCAACTTTTTCTATGCTCAAGTATCACATGTAATCAATGTCTTTTATTCTTGCTTTCTGTTGTATCACACATTCAAATACATGTATCATTTGTTTCTGTACCCTAAATGCTTTTTGCTTTGCCTGAATTACTTGGTGATTCATATTTACTGATGGGGAAAGAAGACTCTTTTTCAAAAGTAAAACTCTCAAAATCAGGGATGAATGAATGAATAAATTCTTTATTGGCCAAGTGTGATTGGGCACATAAGGAATTTGTCTTGGGGCATGTGCTCTCAGTGTACATAAAAAGAAAAGAGACATAGGTCAAGAATGTCTGGAATACTCTACCTGACTCTGTGGTTTCTTCCCCAAACCCCAAAAACTTTAACCTTAGACTGTCTACTATTGACCTCACCCCTTTCCTAAGAGGTCTGTAGAGGACATGCATAAGCGCACCAACGTGCCTACCGTCCCTGCCCTATTGTTTCTTTTTATTTTTATATGTATCCATTTCATGTATCCATAACTATGTTTATACTTATACCTGTTATCTTATAATTGCTTGACAAAATAATAAATAAATAAATCATAAGGTAAACACTTAATGATAGTCATAGGGTACCATAAGCAATCAAATCATACTAGGAAACAGTCAATAAAAATCATAAGGATACAAGCAACAAGGTTACAGTCATACTGTGACAAGTGGGAGGAGATGGGTGATAGGAATGATGAGAAGATTAATAGTAACAGTAGTGCAGACTTTGTAAATAGTTGGACAGTGTTGAGGGAATTATTTGTTTTGCAGAGTGATGGCGTTCAGGGGAAAAACCGTCCTTGTGTCTAGTTGTTCTGGTGTGCAGTACTCTATGGTGTCATTTTGAGAGATCAAGTTCTTATCAGCCCCATGCTAAACTGGGAGTGCAACAGTGGGGATTATGAGTGCAAGAATGAATCTGGAGGTAGCAGTGGGAATTGTAAACAATAATGGTGAAAATAATACAAAATTAAATACAGTGACTATGGTTTTCCAAACATATACTACTTATTTGCTTTGAACACTGTCTTTCTACCTGGCAAGTATACCCTTGGAATAACTTTAAAAAGAGAACTAGTTTGGTCTAGTGCAAGGAACTTCAAACTTGGTAAGTTTAAGACTTGTGGACTTCAACTCCCAGAATTCCGGAGCTAACATGACTGGAGAAGGAATTCTGGGAGTTGAAGTCCACAAGTCTTAAAGCTGTCAAGTTTGAAGACCCCTGGTCTAGTGGATAGGTCACTAGTCTAGAAAGCAGGAGATTTGAATCCTAGTCCCATATTAGAGATGAAAGCTGGCTGGATGACTTTGGACTGGTTATTTTCTCTCAACCCAACCTACATCACAAGGTGATTGTAGGAGAAGGAAGAAGCATTATGTATGTTCGCTGGCTTAAGTTACTTGTAAAGTAATAGAGGCATGATTAAAAAATCAAAATAAAAGTCTCATTCTTTGAATCATACAGATGTGAGCCTTATCCAGAATCATGTTTCTGGTAGGTCAAATTTCATTCTGCTTTATGTGCCTCTCAAATCTCCATAACAAAACTCCAGAGAATCATTAGATGGCAGCAGAGCTTTATTTATTTCTTTGCTGCAATCTCTTGGTCATCTGGATATTTGCAACTTAGATCTGGCAATCCTAATCTTTGAAATCTGATCAAAATGGTACCTTAATACAAACAAACAATTATTTGCAATATTGACAGAATATTGTTATTCTTCTTACTATTCCCCTGAGAGATTTTTCAGAATGAACAAAATTCAATTTCATACTATGGCTGTGTTGGCATAATACAGAGTACCACAAATGTAACCAGCTGCATTTCATTGTATAGTATTTATAGTATTGTTTGAAATAAACTTAGATGATATTTATAGATCTGTGTGTCATACAAATTCAGAACATGAGAGAATTACTTTATCAGGGTAAGGTATCACTTTTATGAAATATTTTACTATTGGCCAATCTCCACTGTAGACCAATGCTTTCATTAAAATGTAAGATAGCCAAAGTAAAAAAGAGGACGAAGAATGGAGAAGAAATCAAGAAGTCTAAAAATTAAGCCAGATGATTCAGCCAGATTTGACAGAGGGGTTTTAACTTGCATTTTTCCCTTCTACTAAAACTTCTTGCAACAAATTAGCTTCCATCTAGGACAAGGGTCTTCAAACTTGGCAAGTTTAAGACTCGTGAACTTCAACTCCCAGAATTTCTGAGCTAGCCTGACTGGAGGAGGAATTCTGGGAGTTGAAGTCCACAAATCTTAAAGCTGTCAAGTTTGAAGACCCCTGCTAGGACCATACTAAATGCAGCTAATTAAGGATAAAATTAACAGAGTAGGGATGCTCTGACTATGTATTAATTTTGCCACAGGTTTCCGCCCCCTCCCCTCCGGCTTTACAGGGTAGGAAAAATGAAATATCCATATAGCTCATGAGAGGGCGCACGCCTTTTTTTTTTTAAGTTTGTTGTTGATTCGCAACCTGGAACAATTTTATTGGTGGCTTTGCTTCCGTAAAGCTGAGTGTAGCGCCCTCCCTTTCGAAACCTAAAATAACTTGGTTTGAACTTCCCTTGAGGTAAAGGAACCAGGAAGTCTCTGCTGCGAAATTGGAATAAAGCATCCAGCAGGCAAGTAGCTTTTTAAATCTCACTCTCGTTTGGATTTTCAGATGAATCCCTACAGGGGGAAGGGCATTTTAACTGAATCTCATAATTTGCTGAAACGTGATGTTTTGTTTGATAATTTTGCAGCTGTAGGACCCCGTGTCTTCAATAGTGGAATGATAAGCAGGAATTTTACAGAACTAGGCAGAGGAAAGTTCATGCAGAATGCATACGTGATCTATAGACATTAAAAGAACTAATTAAGACTGGGAACAGCACTACATAAGGTGAAAGGATCTTGTTCCTTTTCGGATTGTGTTAGTTTTTCTTATAGTTGGTTACCAGAATCTTTCATTAATAAAGTATATGATATGAGAATTATAAATAAAAAGAATGTGAATTAAATTAAGAGGCACCTCTGTATTAATACTAAATAATATACATACTTGTTACCTACATTGAAAAACATACTGTATATACTGCAGTGTCAGTGCAACAAAGAAATTTTATTAGGAACCGCAAAATGTACAATCAATTCCCCTAGTCAACAGTTATTTTACATCTATTTTCATGTTTGCATTAATCCACTGTAGCCTTTTGCAATAATTAAATCAGAATACCTGGTTTTGCATAACACTAATTTTTGTATAACTTTAGTTAACATAAATGTTCTAATAATCTTATAATGAGCTTTGAACTGTTCTATTGTACATGCTGACATCCCCCCCCCCCCCCCCCCCAAAAAAATCTCTACAAAATGACATTAAATTAATTTTGGCTCAGGCCTTCATTGTGTGAAAAACACTGTTAAGTATATATTGGTGAAACACCCACTTCCCCTCCTTTTTTCCCCTCCCCTAAAGTACTTTAGTTATTGGCACAAGTATGGCAACATGATAGTATTTTGTATGCTAACAAAGAGCTGGACCAAATAAACCATATTGCATTTTCATAACATTACTTAAAGTGTCCCTTAAAGCAGGGGTCTCCAACCTTGGCAACTTTAAGACCTGTGGACTTCAACTCCCAGAATTCCTCAGCCAGCAAAGCTGCCTGGGAAATTCTGGGAATTGAAGTCCACAAGTCTTAAAGTTGCCACGGTTGGAGACCCCTGCCTTAAAGTGTATTCTGTGATATTTTCATCTACAATTTTCCCCCCTTCAGGTAGCAATCCTAAAGATACACATTTACCTTAAAGTGTTACACTCATTATGACTTCTGAGTAAATAAGATTTGCTTTCAGAAATAATATAGTATGATTACTCAAAAATAAGTGGCACTAGAATTAGTAGTGATTGTCCTAGGCATTGTACCAATGAAATTTAGAACATTTGAAAATATTAGAAATAACTGAATTCTGAAGACGGGAGATTCACTGTGTAATACACTTATAGAACTTTGTCCTAAGGCGTGTAATGTTTGCTCTTATTAATCAGTTTTTAAATGACTCTTGAAATCTACTTCATTTCACTGTTAAAATGTACTGGATTTCCAACTGATATTGTTGCTAACTAATTCAGATTGCTTAACTTGTTAGACATTCACTTCTGGACTATAGCAATATTGGAAAGGGAATATTATCTAGAAATTTAACTATCTAGTATTTGTTTAATTTTCCTCACAAGTTTGTTCCCTAAAGCTTTTCTGTTGGATTCATAAATGACACAAAGCTGAAAAAAACCCATTGTCTTGTTCAAATTTGTTAATTCATTTGTGCTTAATTCAGTAAACTATAGATAATGATATCCTAATTTATCCCAGGATGTAAGCCAAGCCTCTATTTTAATGTACTTTCACATTTTCTTTTGTTTTTTACTGTTGTTATTCTTTAACTCTCTGGAAATGGAATCAATTTATTGCTTTATTTATTTATTCCTCCTGCCTGCTAGTAAGATACAAATCATTATACAACAATGGAATCTGAAAAGTACAGATATAAAAACTAACATCAAACCATGATAACAGTTTAGGCTAAAAAACTAATACAGAAAACAAACCAGTTAAATAGAAGTTGTGCTTTGAATGCAGAAACTCACAGTTTCAGTCCTTTGCATCTTCATGTAGGAGTGAAAAAATGGATTAAAACTAGTCATGCCATCCTGACAACTAATCTAACAATTAACAATTCCAACCAATTTTCCTTTACATACTGAACCTTTAGATCAAGTAAAGGGAGTTCTCCCCAACTAAATGATAATAATGCTACCAGCTAGCTTAAGGGTCTTCAAACTTGACAGCTTAAAGACTTGTGGACTTCAACTCCCATCATGGCCCAAAGTAATTTTTAAAAAATCTTGCTGGAACTATTCTGATTTGAAATTTGCTTTGCAGGATGGCAGTTGCAATTTTTGCCAGCTGTATATTCTTTCTGAAAATCAAAAAGTTAAAAATTATAGAAAAGAACAGACTGAAGATGTCCATCAAGGAAAATGGTGGGCAGATTGCATTTGGATTAAATCAACAGGTATGTTTAGCCTTACATCTTTGGGTCTTTGGTAGGGAGAGCAGCAAATTCAAGAAAAAAGTTCAGTATAGAATTAATCACAGTTGGATAAACAGAAAAAAATATTTACTAAAACTAATGCTAATTATGACTGATTTAGTTTAAGCCCCATGTCTTTTCTGTTATAGAGTAGATTTTATGTCACAGACACAACTTACTGCTTCTGGGATGTCAAGGCTGCAGTATCTAGAATTGTAGGCAACAAGGGAAAACACAACTCAGCCTGTTCTGGTATAATAGCACGCCATGATTTACTGTTACAGAAATGAAGAAATTTGAATTTTTGTAGGAGTTCCATAGGAAATGTAAAATCTCTTTGTATTCTACCTGTTATGAGAAAAGTATTTTAAAAAAGTTATCGACGCTATAAATTAGGTATTTTGATACACATTTTTAAATAAGGACATCTACTAGAAAAGCTGAAATTTAAAACATATATTTTTGGTTATAAGATTTATTTCGTAAATAAATTCCTCCCAAAACTAAGGAAGAGAAAACAAAGGTGAATTAATCACTTTAATACTTTGGTAAGAAACCTTCAAATATGATTCAAGGAAGAATTTACTTTTTTCTAAGAAACAGACAGATAAAGAGATGCATTAAAATTCTGTAAATGATTAAACAGATTGTCAGTGAGAAAGAAAGTATGTTAAAAATACGTCTAATTATTTAAAAACAACATGTGGAACCTGGTTTTGTAGAAGCATGGGTCAGTAAGGGTTATGCTCCATGTGATGAATTAAGTCTTAATGTAATTTTAGTGCACTCATGTTGTCACTGAAGATGCTAATGCACTCAGCCCCAGAAATCTGAAAACCATCCAGAAGTATGAGCTGCCTATAGTAAATGTTGATTTCATATGGGATTCCATCAAAGAAAAAAAACTTCTGCAATGTGAGAACTATGAGCTATCCCAAACTCTGCCCTTTAAAACAGGTAAGAAAGCTTCTTTTGAATTAGATACATTTTATTCAAAAGAATTTCCATCTATACCAGTAACCTAAAAGTACTAAACTGTGTGGCAGATAGGTAATCTCCCCATTATTGTATATGAGGATATGAAGTTAGAATTTCAATAAAATCTTCCCGGTCTAAGACATTTTGCCACAAGAAGCAAAAACCTCATATGGCACCCTTCACTCTGTCACAGCAGCATCATAAGCACCCTATTCTCTTCATGAACAGTCCAAAATTACTTTAAACCAGAAAAAAAATTAGTGTCCTTTGTGGCTGAAATGCTGTCTTACTGTGCCAGATGTTAAGATTGGCCCCGGTAATCCATCTTCCTAAGCTTTTAGAGCATCTTCTGGTTATATTTCTTATGTACTCATTCAAGCTAATAGATATAAAGTAAATATTGCATGACAAATAGGTACGCAGATGACTTTAACGAGTGGCGATGATGACAGACCTAAGGAAAAAGATGTTTCTGAGGAGAATCACAAGCATAAATTGGATGACCGCAGAAACTTAGAAAAACTAAGGTAATTCCTTTATGTATCATGTTTGCTTAAAAATGAAACCAAGTTCTCCATGGAAATCTTTTGGGGATAGGAGAATTCAGTGCATTATATGCAGAATATTCTAGTATGTTTATTGTTAAATCTTTTTTTTTAGCAGCAAAAGGCCATATAAAGTGTAAGACTAATATGATGATGTCAGTGGAAGGGATCAGGACTAGGGTTTTTGTTATGTTTATGATTGTACCCAGTAAACTCAAGATTTATTAGACTTCATGCTAATTGGGGATCATGCGTATTGAAGTAAAATAATGGAGGGTGCCAATTGGATCATTAGATGTCCTCTCTCAGCCATTGGGAATATTCTGATAAACTGACCAAAGCCAAAAAGCTTCCCCCCTATTGTTATTGTTAAGCTTGCGTGTTGCCTGATTCCTAACAATTCTGGGTGATGGACACAAATCTAACCAATGAGGGAGTATTAAATTGTTATAAATGACTATGATGTTTGTTTCCCCCCCCCCACTTGCATCATAGTTATTGTAACAGACAGGTTTTTAAAAGTGCAGGTAATTAGCTACAAAGCTGTAGTCCTCAACTTATAACAGTTCGTTTAGTGACAGTTCAAAGTTACAATGACATTGGAAAAAGTGACTTATGACCATTTTTCACACTTACGACCTTTGTAGTATCACCATGATCATGTAATCAAAATTCAGATGCTTAGCAGCTGGCTCATACTTATGATCGTTGTGTCCCAAGGTCATGTGATCACTTTTTACAATCTTTTGACAAGCAAAATCAATGGGAAGCCAGATTCACTTAACAACCATGTTACTAACTCAACAACTGCATGATTCACTTAACAACTGTGGCAAGAAAGTTCATAAATTGGGGTAAAATTCACATAACAAATGTCTCATTTAACAACATAAAGTTTGGACTCAATGGTGGTCATAAGTTGAGGACTACCTGTCTACCAGAATTACCATGCAACTCTAAGGGCTTAATTGCTATGGAGAATGGAGAGAACCAAAAACTCTGGAAGTGGAAATTGGTGAGCTCTGGTCAGTAGGAACTGCACCATTTCCTAGCTTGTCAGATCTCCTGTGTTCTCAGTTATCAATGGGAAGCTTACCACAGCTGAGCCTGAAGAAAATTAACTTCACCTTGACAACATGTAGCACAGTTTTGGAGAGTAGCACTAGAGCCCTCTGTCACTGGCTTTGAAAAAGTTAAATCTCATTATTTCCATTAGCCTTCTGATTATTTCCAATGGTCTTATCAGTATTCAGCAACAAATAAAAATCTGACTTTTTTAAAATTCCAGATGGTATTCAGATAACGATGAATATGTTCCATATTTTCCTAAAGAGTTTGAGCTTGCAAAATATGACATCCTTGAAAAGGTAAATTTTTTTGTTAATGTTTTTCTAACATAACATACACATAAACACATCTTATACAAATTTTACAGGAACACAAAAATAAACCATACACGCATCATTTTCAATCTATAAATGTATTAAG